TGAGGAACCTCCATACTACTTTCCAAAGTGGTTGAACAAGTTTACACTCCCACCAACAATGCAGTAAGGTTCCCTTCTGTCCACATCCCCTCCAGTTATTAGAGTTCTTGATTATAGCCATTCTAACTGGGGTGAGGTGATATCTCAATGTTGTTTTGATTTGCATTTCTTTTATGGCTAGGGAGCTTGAGCATTTCTATTGGCCATCCTTCTTTCCTCTTCAGAGAAGTTTCTCTTTAAGTCTTTAGCCCATTTGTAAATCGGGCAGTTGTTTCTTTAAGGATTTGTTGTTGGGGGATTTAATTTTTTGAGTTCCAGGTATATTTTACATATGAGACCCTTGTCTGTTGTATGACGAGTGAAGATCTTCTCCCATTCCGTGGGCTTTCTATTGATCTTGCTAGCTATGTCCTTTTTCTTAATAGAGACCCAGAAAAACAACAAATCAAAGAACAGTTGGACAAATGGGATTAGATTTATTTTTTATTGGAAGAAATTAATCTTTATCATTTTGGTATCTATTTGCTAAATACCTCTTAAAATAAACTTGCTAACCAGAGTATTTTATTGGGAAAAACAAATGATTGAGAACACAAAATTCCTCACCCTATTAGTGATTGAAAAAAACATTAATCTCGTTTTACTTTTATCTGTAGGAAATCAATACTGTGAAACTGGCAGCAAACTTTGGGAAACTTTGCACAGTCCCCTTGGATAGCATTCTTGTAGACAATGTTGCACTACAATTTTTTATGGGTAGGTAAATTTTATTTAAATAATATAACCATTGAAAATGTTCCAACCTTTTTTTTTGCAATTTTGCAGTCAAGTACACTGTTAATTTTCAAATACTATGTTTCTAGAACTTTTTGTGTCTGGTAAAGGTGAAACTCTGTACATATTAAAGTGATTATATAGTAAATTGCCCTCATGTTTTGTTGGTGTTGTAACCTTCCTTTTTAATGGGAAGTGATTTCATTTCCCCCTTGTCTTCACAAACACACACAAATTTTGCTTATCCGTTCATCTATCAAGGAAATGTTGGAGTTGCTTCCACATTTTAGATAGTTTGAGTTTGTTCTAAATATAGGTATACAGGTAGCTTTTTGAAGTTCTACTTTTAATTCTTTTTGTTTGGTACTCAGAAGTGGAATTACTGAGTCATATAGTAATTTTGTTATTAGTTTTTAAGAATAACTATTGTTTTCACAGTGACTATTTTACATTTCTACCAAAATTTAACTTTATCAGACCTTTACCTGTCAAGTTGTCCCTTGCAGGGTGCAGATTTTCAGTAAACTTCCAAGTTTCAGGTTGTTTATATTAGATAGTTTCAGTGCCATCTTTGTGTAGGTGGGGAGTTAGATTCCTGGTACTCCTCGATCCCTGTGTCTTCCTGGATATTTTAAATATACTGAATTTGGAATTGTTAACATGTCAATGTTGACAACAGGAGAGAAGCTATGTGTATGTGTAATTGTGTGCATCTGTAATCACAACTGTGAGAGATACGTTGATAGGAGGATCAGAGTTTGAAGCAGGTCCTGGGGGAAGAGTACAAGACACTATTTTTTTTAAATATAAATGTGATTTGTTAAATTGCTAATCTTTTAAATCTTTTTAATGATTAATAATTTTGTCACAAATATTGAATGTTAGTGTGAACTAGTTCTAATGAAGTCTTATATACTGAATTTATTCACTAAATATTTTTCATTAAATGTGAGATTTAAAATTTTTTTCCAGTGCTCGCTTGGGCAGCACATATGTCAAAATATTTTTCCAGCTGGTATCATAGAATATGTCTCTAAATCCAACACTCTGAAACAGGATTATCTTGAATTTTTGGCCCTTCTTAACTACATAGTGAGATGGTCTCAAAAACAATAAAAAAATTAAATATTGATGACTTAAATTCTTGAAATTAATTCTTCTCAAATATTGATTATGAAGCTTCATGAGCCCCCAATTGTGTAATATTAATATCTCCTTTGTTGTGTGTAATTCTTAGATTATATGCAGCAGACTGGAGGTCAGGCACATCTTTTCTTCTGGATGACAGTGGAAGGATACCGAGTTACAGCCCAGCAGCAGCTAGAGGTTTTGTCAAGTCGTCAGAGAGATGGAAAACATCAAACCAATCAAACCAAAGGTCTCTTAAGAGCAGCCGCAGTTGGAATTTATGAACAATACTTATCTGAAAAGGTCAGGCTATAATTTGGTTGTTTTCTTATCTTCTTTGGCATTATATTAATAATATTTTGTATAATATTTATAAGTCTGCCATGCATGATTGCTTCACAAAGTTTTATTTAATCCTAAGAAAAACTCTCCTGTGGATTTTTATCCTATGTATGTATCATGCTGGTACCTAGTGTTTAGAAAATCAAATTAGGTCATGCAAATTATAAATGATGAAGTCAAGATTGCTGGTCACACACACAAAGAAAACAATTGAAAATAAAAGGATAAAAGAAGAAAACATGCAAAAGTAAATGAGAACTAGAAGGAATATGTTACTGTCACGCAAATCGAACTTAAGATAAAAATTATTATTTTATCATTTTGAAATGATAGAAGTGTCAACTAGTCAAGAGAATAAAACAAACATGCATCTAACAACAAAGCTTTTAGATAAATAAAACACAAATTTACAGAATTAAAAGGAAAAAGAAATTTCAACAATAGTATTTGGCTCCTTTAATACAATATTCTCAATAATTGGTGGTATATTTATATAGAAAATCATCCTGATCACATAAGACTGTAAAATATTTCACCTCACAGCCAAATTTACTTTAGTTTTTAAAAAAATACATGGTGCATTCTCTAAGATAAAACATATGGTAACGGGCTGGGAAGGTGGCTCAGTGGTAGAGCGCTTGCCTTGCATTCCTGAGGCCCTGGGTTTGATTCCTCAGCACCACATAAGCAAAAAGAAAAGAAATGCCGGTAGTGGCACTGTGGCTCAAGTGGTAGAGTGCTAGCCTTGAGCAGAAGAGCTGAGGGACAGTACCCAGGCCCAGAGTTCAGGCCCCACAACCGGACCCCAAAAAAAAAAAAACATATGGTAGACTATTTTTTAAAAATCTTGAAAGTATTGAAATTATACAAAGTATGTCCTTTGATTGGAATAAAATCCTACAGGAAGATAATAAATGTCTGGGAAATCTAAACTGTCTACAAATACTTGGAAATTAAATGGTATTTCTAATTAGCTTCTGTGTCAATAAGAAAGATCACATGAAAACTGGAAAGTTTTCATCTTAGTTTTTAAATTGGCAACTGAAAATATATGTATTGTATATAATGTGATGCCTTGAAAAACAAGTTAATGTTTAATTTAAAAATGAAAACATTGGATTAAAATTTATGGGCTAAAGCAAATGCAGTGCTCCAATGGACAATTGTAGCTTAAAATGTAATTAGAAAAAAAAACACCAAAATCTATTTTGTGGGTAGATGGGAGAAGTGGGTTCTAGTGTTCCCTTGAACAGTGGGGTGACTGGACAATGATGATATGTATTTTAAAGAAACTATGGGGAGATATTTTGAGTATTTGTCTCACACAGTAGTGGTAAATGTTTGAAGTGATAGGTGTGATTATCTTCTTTGTTAACAAAACTGTATACATGTGTTGAAATGGTCCTCATAAATCTGTGCAATTTTTTCAATTAAATGCAAGGAAGAAATACCTAAATTCAGCAATTTTAACTTTTCACTTTACAAATCTAGGAAAATTCAAAGGCAAAATAAACTTCAGGCAAATAGAAGGGCCCAAACTACAAGAATTAGTGAAATAAAACTATAAAGACATTAATAACAACCAGTGAGAGTTCATTCTTTGAAAATATCAACAGTGTAGCAAACCTTTAGGTGGATAGACCATCAAAAAGTGGGGGAAGACACAGATCCTCAAACTCGTGAGTGAAAAAATTATCACCCATGACTATACAAAAATGAAAAAGAATATAAGCAAACATGAGCAACTTCATGACGAAAAATAAAACAACTTGGATGAGATGTACAAATGCCTAGGAAAATGAAAATTGCCATACTGACCCAAGAGGAAATAGAAAATCTCATAATAATTAAAAATTGAATTAACAATTGAAAATCATTCCATAGAGTAAAAGATTATTCCCAGATGATTTCACTGGTGAATTCTAAGTACTTCAAGAATAATATCTCAATGTTTTCAAGCAAACCTTTTAATTTTACTTTATGAGATTGGTTGATTCTCATACCAAAACCAAAGATGTCACTTAGGGAGAAAAATCTCACCATATAGACAGAAAATTCTTCAAAATTCCAAAATACTTGTTGGTACTGAAGTTAAAACTCAGTGTCTCATGCTTGTGAGTAGATACTCTGCCACTTAAACCATTCTACCAGTCCCTCTTTCTGTTGATTATTTTCACTTTATTCCTGGGTAGCCCTGGTCTCCAGTCCTCCTATTTGTTTTTTTCTTAATCACTAGGATGACAGGTAGGCACTGATTACACCCAGCTATTCTGCTTTCCTCATAATAATAGATGAATACATCACTCTCATCTTTGATTGAGATGGAGTCCATAAACTTGTGCTTGGGCTGGCTTCAAAACAGGATCCAAGTAATTATGATTGTAGGTTTAGTCCCTATGCCAAGATCTGACTGTAGAATTTTGAGTGAGTGAGTGAGTGAGTGAGTGTGTGTGTGTGTGTGTGTGTGTGTGTGTGTGTGTGTGTGTGTGTGTGTGTGTGTGTGTGTGTGTGTGTGTGTGCATGCCAGTGCTTTTGCTTGAACTCAGGGTCTAGGTGCTGTCCCTGAGCTTTTTTACTCAAGGCTAGCATTACCACTTGGGCCACAGCTCCAATTCTGGCTTTTTTTCCTGGTTAATTGGAGACGAAAGTCATATGGATTTCTCTGCGTGGGCTGGCTTTGAACCATAACCCTCAGATCTCAGCCTTCTGAGTAGTTAGGATTACAGGTATGAGCCACTTGTGCCCAGCTTTGTAGAATTTTTTTTAAAATGCTGTGTTATAGTAACATGTTTCTTACTAGCACAGTATTTTAAAATTTTTCAGCATGAATTTTATTTGAAAACTGCTCATTAATGCATATGGTAATATTTTGCCTTATGAAACATACCCCCAAACAAACCCCCAAACAAATACTCAAGTATTTATTTAGTTGCTTTAGGTATCAGACAGTATGTAAGCTATTGTTTACAAATTAAGTATGTCTTATTGCAGTGAAAACTTTGGAAATGTCCTGAATTTAAGACATTAAAATTGTGTTCATGGTGCCCCACCCAAATATAGTTCTGATGCCATCTAGCTCTTCAATTCTACTTAAGTGTAAAATTTCCTTCCTTCCTTCCTTCCTTCCTTCCTTCCTTCCTTCCTTCCTTCCTTCCTTCCTTCCGTCCTTCCTTCCCTCCTTCCCTCCTTCCTTCCCTCCTCCCCCCCTCTTTCTCTCCCTCCCCCCTCTTTCATGGCAATTTGTTGTTTTAAAGAAAGTGACCCTGAAGGGGTCTACTTCTAAGTACCTTACTTGGTTGCCAAGTAGACTGACATTAATGAAAAGTGGAGTGTATCAAAAGTGCTTTGGCAAAGAGGGTGAAGTGAGGTAGATTTAAATTCCTTTTCGGCTGACTTGAAACATAAAGCAGATGTAATTACAGGGGGGAAAAGTATAATCAGCTACAATTTAGAGCATTAAGAAGAGAAGACACCCAATTGAATAACAGGAAAGACATATTAGTAAGGAAATCATCTCATTAGGCTTAGATTAAGTGCAAAATTTCTAGAGACCAAAACATAGTCTTAAGAATAACCACATATTAAATCACTATCAAGTTAGAAATAAAACACTGTACCTTTTTTGGTGTGTGTGCCAGTCCTAGAACTTGAACACAGGACCTGGGCTCTTAAGAAATGTCTACACTGTGGCTAAATTGTTGACTCTGCAGTAAGATTGTATTTTAAAAAGAAGTACAAGAAGAATGCTCTTCTCTAATTTGAAAATACTTTTGAGAGTAGAATGGAGGAAAGAATTACAATAAATTGAATTTGAGTTAGTGTTTCTCTAAATTTGGTAGGTGATCTTTGAAGAGAACCAAAGGAGTTTAAAAAGGAAGAATTGATGGATCTAGGTTTACTTTAGTATGTTTTGAAGCCAACTTCGGTTTCATAAGTTGAAATTGTCTCATATGTTTTAAAGTTGTTTTCCCTGAAAAAGTGGCATTTACCATGTTAACATCATTAATGATCCAAAGTGATTAAAAATGGTTATTTTAGACACAGATAGCCACTATCATGAATTGAAAACTTGGTGGACTTTTTTTTTAGTAGTAGGAACTTAGAGATAGATTATTTTAAGTAGACAAAATCTCAGTTGATACCAAAATTACTTTTTGATGATATATATATATATATATATATAACTTTATGCCACATAGGATTCAGAACATTTAACAGTTGATTAAATTGGGCAAGAGTGAGGGTTAAAAGTCAAGGTGAATTTTACACTTGACTGTATTTTGTAGCATAATACAAAAGAAAAGTATGTCATAAAGATTGTAAGCAGTTCACAAAGTTGTAAATGTAAAAGGAAACAAAAATATTAACATTTTATTTTCATGGAACATATAGAAATTTCATGATTTTCTAAAAATTAAAATATATAATACCTTGCTTTCTATCTCCATTCTCTCTCTATATACATATATATATATATATTTAAATGGTATACTTTTGTGCTTAAAGGATACAAAATAATATAACTTACATTTAAATATCCTACCACATCCTACATGGGGATGTGGTTTGCTTTCCTAGTATGCATAAGGCCCTGTATTTAATCTTTACGACCACAAAAACAAAGTGAAGAAAGATCCAGAAATATCCTGCTGTGCATACATTCAGCTTGCACACAGTCTTATGTTTCTGTATTTTATTAATTCAAAATAGTATATCCTAAAATCTTCAGTGTCTAATAGTGGTGCCTCTCCTACCTTGACAATGCAAGGAATTGAATCCAGGTTCATGTACATGCTAAATACAGCACTCTGCCAGTGAGCACATTCCTAGCTAATAAAGAGTATTCTAAAAGTTAAAGAAGATACTTCTTACTTTTCACAAGAATATTTAATAATTCCTGTTGGTACTAACTGCCACTGTTTATTGTTACTATTTTATTTGTATAATAGAAAAATGGAGTATACGTTATTAGATACTTTGGGGGGAACGTTTTACTTTTTATATTAAAATTATACATGTATAATTCTAAATTAAATTTTTAAGAGAAAGATTTTCTAAGCATGAGGGTCAGATTTTGTATTTCTGTGTCCTGTATTTTGAAATAAGTTGCACCTGCTGTTGCGTAGGTGATTCAAATAATTATAGGGTAAATTAGTCTCTTTAATGGTCACTAAAAAGTACTCTCCCTTGATAGATAAATCAGTTTTATTCTTTGCAGTCTTTATACACATTTAATACTAAACAATGATTTACCTCCTAATGAAATCAGGCTTTGCCTAGGTGACAGAAAAATTAGACATTGTATCAATATATCTTAAATGATTCTCTTTCTATTCCTTTACATTGATCTTAAATAACTATATGTAGTATTATCTCCATTTTACAAAATGGCCTACTTGTAATTTGCTCAAGAAATCAAGATTTTAAATCCATGGCTTTCTACCCTTCTTTAACATAGTACATAGTGAAGAGCAAGCCATATCTGTATTCTAGCTTTCTTAAATATCCAGGTATTTATAAACCAAAGATTTTTATCTCTTAATTTCTTTAAGTAGTATAATTAATTCCCCTGCTATCCATTATTAGTTTGTACTTATAAATTACAAAGGTCATTATTCTCTTGTTTTCTGTATTCCTTAGGCATCTCCAAGAGTTACTGTTGATGACTATTTAGTAGCAAAATTAGCAGACACTTTGAATCATGAAGATCCAACTCCTGAAATCTTTGATGACATTCAAAGGAAGGTATTAGATATTTTGTATTTTTTAAGAATATGTATGTTTTTATTAATTTAACTAATTAAATAAAAGTGAATGAAGCATCATAAAAAGCCAGGTGTATACTTGTGGTAAGTGTACCTCTTGGTTTTAAGAAGGTGGACCAGTATTTTGGTTTATTTCTTTAACCATTGATGAGAGAAATCCATATTTTAGCTTTCTTTGTTTTAATCTACTGAAGACACTCTGGCTTAGAACTTGATGATCTTATGTTATACTTGAAGTTATAGCCAGGCCAAAAGTTCCTGAATAAGACTCCTAATAGCTCAGAAATAAGAACAAAAGTTTTCATTAAAGTTTCCAAAGCCAGGTGCCAGTGGTTCATGAATATAATCCCAGCTACTCAAGAGGTTGAGAGCTTAGAATCATGGTTCATAGCCAGCCTGGATGGGAAAGTCTGTAGGAATCTCATCTTCAACTAACTTCCAAAAAACCTGAAGTAGAGGTATGGCTCAAGTGTTAGCTTGCCAGCCTTGAGTAAAAAAGCTAAGGGGCAGTGCCCAGGCCTTGAGTTCAAACCTCAGGATGAGCACACACATGAAAGGAAACAATCACCAGATGAAGAGAAAGCCAATAAAATAGGAGAAAAATCTTATCTCTACCATTGATTCATTTCATACATGAGTAATATCCAGAATAAAGAGCTCCAAACATTAATTACCAAAAGAACAAATGCCATTATTAAACTGCAAATTTAATGGGTGAAGGAGGAAAGGAAGGGAGGAAGTACAGGTCATGATAGAGAAAGAAGATAGGAAAGGGTGATGTGAGGATAAATACAATCAAAGTCTATTCATTATGAAAATAGCATAATGAAATATACTAAAAATGTTCAAAATAAAATGGAAGGAAGAAGGATAAGAGTAATGGAGGGAGTGAATATGAAATTGGCCTTACAAATTTATTTTAATATGAACCATGATCGTTTATGTACATTTGTTTTTAAGAAAACACTACTCAGCTGGGTGCCAGTGGCTTGCACCTGTAATCCTAGCTACTCAGGATGCTGAGATCTGAGGATCACAGTTCAAAGCCAACCCTAGCAGGAAGTCTGTTAGTCTCTTATCTCCAATAAACTACTAGAATATTGGAAGTGACACTGTGGCTCAAGAGGTAGATTACCTGCCTTGAGCTGATGCGCCCAGACCCAGAGTTCAAGCCCCAGAACCAACCGTTAAAAATTATAGATTAACCTACTATCATGTGACTTGTGTTATTGTGGGGCCCTTTCAGTGTAATTTAGTTACTTGGAGGAACAGAAGAAATTATTTGTTATGACATTTTAATGAATGTCAAACAGCTGATAAGTAGCAAAATGGAAGTACTCTTTAACAGTGTGACTCAAACTGATTTGTATACTACAGTATGCTTATAGTCTCAGCATCCTTATTTGAAAAAATGAAAGGTTGAATAAATGACTATGGCTTCTTCTAGCTGAGAAATCTGAAAAATTACTGGATATTTTGTAACTGATATGTTATAGTAAAACTTTACTGAAGTCTTTGGTGATATTTTAGTAAAAATCACCACATTTGTATTAATTGTTTAATATCTTGATTATTTCAACAAGGTATATGAATTGATGCTTCGAGATGAAAGATTTTATCCTTCCTTCAGACAGAATGCACTCTATGTTCGTATGTTAGCTGAGCTGGACATGTTAAAAGATCCCAGCTTCCGAGGATCAGATGATGGAGATGGAGGTAAGATGGCACACTGTGTGTGTGTGTGTGTGTGTGTGTGTGTGTGTTTGTGTGTGTGTGTGTGTGTGTGTGTGTGTTTACATTTTTCTAAACCGAAGCTCAGATATAAATTGTATTTTTCAATGGTATTTTTCAGTGCTTTCAAGGCAAGCACTTTGCCACTCAGCTACATCCCAGCCTATTAAATGGATAAATTTATAACAATGTGGTAACCATATTAAATAAAAATGTTGAAAATTCATATGTAACTGTAGATAACTAGAATTCTTGAAAAATTATGTTTTCTTGAGATGGGTCACTCCTGTGTTCTTATGGTAATTTCTTTCTCTTTTGTTAGTAGATAATAAAGTCATATATCAATAGGTCTATTGAGAAAAGTAGTTGTGATAGTGAATAATTCAATGTACCATAAATGTAAAGCAATATAAATAATAATAGGTTTTTCCCACTCTTTTGGATTGTATTCTTTTCTAATTCTTGCACAATATGAGAGATTTTTCAGACAGAAGCGATAGTCACTTATTCAAGCTTTTATTTTTCAAATAAGAATTCTAAGACTATTCCAAAACAAGTTTGAGTCACATGTTTATATAATACTTCCCATTTGCTACTTGTCATCTGTTTTGACATTCATGAACCATACATTGTTTTATGCTTCATTTTTCTCAGCTATAAGTCTGAAATTATATGATATTTTAAAGTAAAGCATAAGTTTCAGCTTTTATTGATAGAAAGTGGTGAATTAACTAAGAAATTTAGAATGATAATCCTTAGAATACAAGTGTTGAGATTCTTATGCTTAATGACCATTTTACTTTTGATTCAGTGTAGAACTGTTTATTAAACTGTAATAAAGTACCTAGGGCTTGATAATCATTGTGGTATGTTCTTCCAAGTAAGTAATTAAAAAGAAAGCAATTTAAAAAGTAAGAAAGACTACAGTAATTAATTAATTAATTGTTGGTGGTAGGGCTTGAATTCTGGGCCTGGGCTCTGCCCCTGAGCTCTTCAGCTCAGGGTAGCACTCTACCACTTGAGCCACAATGTCACTTCCTGCATTTTTCTGTGTATATGGTACTGAGGAATCGAACCCGGAGCTTCATGCATGCTAGGCTAGCACTCTACTACTAAGCCACGTTCCCAGCCCTACAGTAATTTTTTAAGAGAATGCTATAACAATGGCCGCTTACTTATGAACAGATTGTATAAACAAAACCACATGAGGACAAAGGTATAAATCTGTTAGGTATCAGTCATTTCTTTACAATTTTTTTTTCTGCTATAGAGTTTTCTAGCCTTACGTCTCTTTTGGCTGTTGCTTCACTATACTAGTAAGACTTTTTAAAAGTAATTACAAATTACAATTACACATTTTACATTAGAATTTTAAGAACGATTTTTGATCTGATAGCTAAGTAAGTGTCTTTAAAAAGGCAAGGTTTCTCCTAGCTTATTTGTTGAAACTGACAATTTATTAGCTAGCTTTCTTTGCATAATTAAGGAAGTTGTTTTTTTAAAAAATTATTCCACTTTTTTGGTGTTACTGGGGTTTAAACTCGAAGTCTTACACTTGTTAGGCAGGCATTCATCCGCTCGAATCACACCTTCAGTCTTGTTTTGCTTTTCTTATTTTACTGATAGGATTTAGCATGTTTTTGGGGGGCAAACTTTGGACTGAGTTTCTTCTACTTCTACTTTCTTCATAAGTAGCATTACGGCAATACACCACCACAGAGTGCTTGTTGGTTCTGATGGGGTATTGCTGTTTTTCCTGAGCAGTACTTGAATTACTGTCTTACAGATCTCTGCATTCTGAGTAGTTGTGATTACAGATGTGGTTCAGTATACTCAGTCTTTTTTTACTTTTTCTATTTTGACTGTACTGTACTACAATTTGATCTCAGCTTCATGCTCGCTTGGCTTGTTTATTTTGCTGACACTCTTGCTTACTTGCGTGGCACCAAATAACCCATGTCTCCAACCCAGTTTTTATTGGTTATTTTGGAGATGGACTCTCCTGGACATTTCTGCCTGGGTTGACTTTGAATCACAATCCTCTACACTCAGCCTGCTGATAGCCATGATTACAGGATTAAATTCCTGGCTAAGTAGTGAAATTTTGTGTACTTCTATTTTGTAGTGTACCTACATTTTCTGTATCTGTTGCAAAGTTGTTTTTTTAAAGAGCTGCTATGAAATAAGAAATATGCAATAGCAACTCCATATCAGCTAACCATCCTAATAAGATGCTTGTGATTTTTTTCATAGCCTAAGATGTAAAGGTTATATTTTTATATAAATTTTTTTATTCAAAAAATGTCTTAGTAATTATGAAGATTTCTTGTATGACTTATATATATATAAAGAGATATAAAGTGACTAATGTGAAACTTTCTCAATAAATTGGGATTTAAAATAATAGCAGTAACATAATTATTATCTAAATCTAGTCTTTCAATATTGGTTTTAGGTTTCCGTTTATAACTTTTTAACCAGTCTTCTTATCCCCCCATTCTTTTTGATGGCATTTGGGTTTGAACCTTGTACTTGCTAGGCAGGCAAGCAACATTCTCAGCCTTTTTGCTCAGTTTTTGAATAAGATTTCACTTTTTATTGGATACTTTTACAATGCATTTTGATACATGTTTTCCTCCATCTTTTTTCTTCCTGTTTTTTTTTCTTGCTTAGTAAATAAATGCTCCTTAAGCAGAGTAGATAAATACATCTAGTTGGCTTACTAATGCATGCCTTCTCTTTTTTCTTTTCTGTCTTCCTTCTGTATTTTTATTCCTGATTACTTTACTTAGGTAGAACAGCATCCACTGTAGGTATGCATCTCTAATCAATCCAAAAATCAGAAGTCCAAAATGCTCTTTCCATTCATTGTCTGAAATTTTGAATTTTGTTATATTTTAATTTCAGAGTTTTTTGATTGGGAATGTAGATATTAACTTCTTTATTAAAATAAGATCTTGTTTTTAAAAAATTTAAGTTATGCTGTCCTTTTAAGATTTTAATCTCAATGAAATTTATGTCAGCATGTTTAGCAATACTTTTATGTATGTCATAATTTGGAGAGGGTGATATTAGAGTTTGAACTCACGGTTTCAAGTTGGCTAGGTAGTTGCTGTGTGCTGAGCTATATCTCTAACCTTTTTTGCAGTCATTACTTTTGAGATAAGTATTTCATGTTTTTTGTTTAGGCTGGTGCCTGGACTACGGGTAGATCACTACCTATTTTAGGCTTCTCTTCATAATTCAGATGACAGGTACACATTGCTAAACTTAGTTTTTGGGGTTTTTTTCATTGAATTGGAATCTTCTAACTGCTCTGAAACTTCCAATTTTTATTCAGCCATTTAGCTGGGATGATCACTGCATGTTGCACAGCATTTGGTTGAGAAAGGGGTCTTGCGTGTATGCCTTAGCCTGAAGTCTTCATCCTCCCAACCTCAGCATTTCAAGTAGCTAGGATTACTGACATGAGCATCTGGTACCCCATGTGTTCTAATATTTGTACACATTTATTAAATTTTTGACTAAATGTGGACTCAATCTCTTTCAGAGTATATATCTTGAAGTGGTTGTTGTTTGTCTAGTACATTGACTATATTTTAATTGTTCCAAATTAAAAAGGAGTGATTTAAAAGTTCTGTTGTGGGAAAATTGAAGAGGTTGACATATCAAAGACAAAAACAGAAGGTATATGATTAAATGAGGAAAATAGTTAATATTTGTTTATTTTGATTATCCTTCCTGTAAATTAAGGCAAAATGCCCTATTTGGCCTTTGTGACCACATGTCTGAAGAACCAAGAAGTATTCTTGGGCACTGAAGTTCTAGGGAGGAAGCACTATCAGCTGCCTCCTTGTAGAAGTAATGCAGCATTAACTTTTAAAACTCATTTAACAAACTCAAAAACCCTCAAAAAAACAGCAACCCAATTAATAAGTATGTTAAAGACTTAGAGACTTTTCAGAAGAAGTAAGAGTGGCCACTAGACACATGAAGAAATGGTCAACATCTCTGTCTGTTAAAAAAAAAAAAGGCAAATCAAAACAATATTGAGATTCCACTTCATCCCAGTTAGAGTGGCCATTATCAAGAAATCTAACAATAATAGATGCTGGCAGGAATGTGGCCAAAAGGGAACCCTATTACACTGTTGGTAGGAATGTAAACTTGTTCAGCCACTCTGGAAAGCAATATGGTTGTTCCTCAAAATACTAAACATAGAGCTTTGCTATGACCCAGTAATTCCACTCCTGGGCATTTATCCACATTTAGACCACAAACAAAGCCACACTAAAGCTACCAGGACAACCATGTTCATTGAAGCACTGTTTACTAGAGCTAAGATATGGAACCAACCCAAATGCCCCTTAGTAGATGAATGGATCAAGAAAATGTGGTATATATACATAATGAGATTTTATGCTTCCATCAGAAAGAATGATATTGTACCATTTTTAAGGAAATGAAATGACTTAGAAAAAAATGCATTAAGCGAAGTAAGCCACACACAAAGAAACATAGGTGGCATGGTTTCCCTCACTTTGGTAACTAAAATGTGCCTATATATTTACCAGTAAACACACTGGATGGTAAAAGACAAAATATACTGGGTCATGATAAATTATACAGGTCTCTTAGATGGTCACACAGTGACACTAAAAGAGAATATCACAAAGGTTCAATAGCTATGTGCTTATGATCATATAAAATAACATTGAGAAACTCCAAGAAAGGAAACAAAAGATTTTTCTTTTTTTCTGTGTTGCTGTATTTGTTTTCTTTTTTTTTGGGTCTGGTCATGGGGCCTGAACTCTGGGCCAGGGCGCTGTCCCTGAGCCCTTCAGCTCAAGGCTAGCACTCTACCACTTGAGCCACAGCGCCACTTCTGGCTCTTTTCTTTTTGCTTATGTGGTGCTGAGGAATTGAACCCAGGGCCTCAGGCATGCAAGGCAAGCGCTCTACCACTGAGCCACCTTCCCAGCCCTGTATTTGTTTTCTTTACCTTTGTCTTGTTTGTAACTTTATCTGTTTGGGGGAGGGTAAGCAGGACTGCACAGAAAGGATGGGACAGATTGAACAAATGTAGCAGTGATACTCATGAGATACTATGTAGAAATGAACTATACAACTTGTAGGTGGGGATGGGAGGGAAAAACTGGGTGAGAATGAGGGAAGGAGTTTATACTGTTCAAAAAGAAATGTAAGCTGGGTGACAGTGGCTCATGCCTATAATCCTATCTACTCAGGAGGCTGAGATCTGAGGATCGTGGTTCAAAGCCAGCCCAGGCAGGAAAGTCTGAAACTCTTATCTGCAATTAGCCATCAGAAAACTGGAAGTGGTGCTGTGGCTTTAAGTGGTAGAACACTTGCCTTGAGCTGAAGAGCGCAGGGATAGCACTCAGGCCTAGAGTTCAAGCCCCACAACGGACAAAAAAAAAAAATGAAATGTACTTTTTACCTGACCTATGTAACTGTAACCCCTCTGTATATAATCTTTACAATAGCAATACATAAATAAATATTTTGAAAAAGTAAAAAAAAACAAATTTACAAATAATTTCTTAAAAGCTAGAAAATATATACTACCTTTGAACTACATATGAATGTTGCTTTACCACTGGTTTGTGTTTTATACAGAGACACCTTTATTACTAACTTAATTTGCTTAGATATGAAATAAACTGAGTAAAAAGATTACTGCTTGACATTTTGTGCCTTATTCTCTAATATTTATTTTAAAATTCATATCTTTTCACTTAATCCAATATTTTTGAACCAAGTCTACTACAAGAGTAAATTGACTGGATAGATACCGTCAGTCCATTTGTAGCTCACACTAACAATTAATTTTAATTTGTAATGTTTCTTAAATCGGTGCGATAGAAACAACAAAAGTAGTCTGACTTTTCCTAATTTGTATTATGTTCACATGGTCAGTCAATAGGAATAAGATAATATTAAATATACATATTTTATATTAAATATAATACTTGGTTTTTGCTAGCTGTCAAGTACATTTATATTCACTAAAATGCTTGTTTATCTTGATAATAATTTGGAATTTATGAGATTAGGTGTTTGGGAATATATCACTCTTTTGCTTCTTTTATGTCTTGGTTTATGTGATTTGTATTTTTGAACCTTACTTAAAAAAGTAACTGTTTCACAATTTTTTTGCTACATTCTAAGTTTAATTTTTTCCTTACAGAATCTTTTAATGGCTCTCCTACCGGAAGCATAAATTTGGTAAGTAGAATTTTTAACAATTTAATTATTAAAATACTTGGAAATAAAGGCTAAACTTCTCCATACTGAAATAAATGATATTTTAGAAGCCTATAAATTTTCTTTCAGTCTAGTACCGTATAGTTTTTAAGGAAATCTTAAGTTCATACATAAGGCATCTGTGAATTAGAAGTTAGAAAAAGTATTTTTATTTCAATAAATAGAATTAGGCCACACCTTTATAATTGCCTGTTTATTTTATAAAGATATTTATTTCATTATTTTTGGTTTGTATTTAGGATGTTTTAAACATTGTAATGAATTTTTTTATTTTATTTAGAAAAGTATAAAACTGGTTGAGATGATTATAAATGTCTAGATATTTCTTAAAGTGTTCAGTAAAATAAATTTTAAGTCATTCTAAAACTTTTTTTTTTTTTTTGACAGTCCTAGGGCTTGAATTCAGGACCTGCTCTGGGCTTAGTACCTGATACTCTTTGTGCTCAAGGCTAGCCCTCTGCCAGTTGAGCCACAGTGCCACTTCTGGCATTTTTGAGTAGTTTATTGGAGATAAGAGTCTCACAGGGACTTTTTTTTCTCTGGCTGACTTAGAACCATGATCCTCAGGACTCAGCCTCCAGAGGAGCTATGGGTATAAGCCACAGGCACCCAGCTTCTAAAAATTTCTTTTTAACTCATAGAATGTTTTACACCAGCAGTATTTTATGATTAAAGGTTTAAGAATGACAGGTTTTTAACATATAAACTGCGATTGGATTTTCAGGGTGAATTGTGAGATAATGCCTGTGTCAGTGCTTTTATATATTTCAGATTCAGCTATACCATAGTATGTTTTAACAATGTTTTTAGGAAAAATTTTCAGTATTTTATCAGGTTTTTAGTCCAGAGTGTGGCTAAATAGGGTAGGTGAGGGGGAAATATGGACATTTGCTTGTTTTTACTGTCCTTTTACCTGCATCGGCTTTCTTTTAAATGTTTTGGAATAGCTATATGGTTTTAGATGTCTTTTCTAACAATATCGATTATACTATTACTCTTATTTCTGGAATAGTTTTAGTGAAAAGTAGTATTAAACACATTTTATTATTATGAAAGAAGGATAGTCTTTACCAAAACATAAACCAAATCATCAGTAAAGGTATTTCAGTTACTTTGTAACTTTTTAAGTGCTTTCCTAAATTATTTGACATCTTTACTCTTTTCTTATATTCTAAACTGTCTAACAGAAATTAACCCTAGAGTTAAATATGAGGTTATTTTTCAGTAATATTTGCAATAATATCCATTATGTAAAGTTTCCAAATGATGTGAAACTTTTCTTTGGTTTGAAATGTTCTATCATTCACAAGCATAATGTTTGTACAAGTGTTTAAACACTAGTTAAAAACTTTATGTCTGGGGCTGGGAAGGTGGTTCAGTGGTAGAGTGCTTGCCTCGGATGCATGAAGCCCTGGGTTCCATTCCTCAGCACCACATAAGCAGAAAAAGCTGGAAGTGGCACTGTGGCTCAAGTGGTAGAGTGTTTGCCTTGAGCTGAAGAGCTGAGGCACAGCGCCCAGGCCCAGAGTTCAGGCCCCACAACAGGCAAAAAAAAAAAAAAAACCTTATGTCTGGAATAAATGCTTTCTCACACATAGTAATATAAACCCAGCTGTCTATGAATCATAGTCATATTTAAGGTCAATGATTTGTGGTACTTTGCTGTTCTCAAAAATGTGCCAAATGAACATACTTAAATAGAATCTTCAGAATCTTTCAAAAGTATGTATACAAGTATTACCAACTGCATTTTTAAGTAATCTTAAATTATAAACTAAGGATAATTTATTCCACTATACTAAGCAAAGAAAGTATTCAATATCTTAAAGTACAATTGAGATTGCCAGGTAAATTACTTTCTAAATTTCCAGTGTTATCCTTGGATTTGTATTCACCGAGACATCATTCATAGAGTATATTCATTCATAGAGTATATTCAGCTGAGTATAGTAGTATATGCGTACAGTTCCAGTTATTTTAGAGGCTGTGTCCAGTGAGTCACTTGAGCCTGGGAGTTATAGGTAAGCTTGGACAATGTAGGAAGACTATCTCAAAACAAAGCAAAAATTTTAATTTTTTTTCAGGTTCTGCTTAGCATAATGTTTCAGTTTTTTTTCTTGCTTGAAGCTTTCAGAATCTTAAATCAGGGATTAAACTGTAAATTTTTTGTTTCAGGACAAATTAATGAATTTATTTTGAAATCATAAGTTTCTTTTACTAATCAATACTTATGTTCCTAAATGAAATGTAGTTCTGTGGTTAACATTATTTTACCATTTATAATTTGTTTGTCAACTCACTATTTATTTGTGCATTATCACTATAAATAATTTTTAAGAGACTTTCATCAGATTTTTCATTATTTTTAAAGTATTAAGGAAGACATTTAATCTCAAAGTCCTTAACAACAAGATTGTAATAGTAGGACAGACTACGTGCTTAAAGTAATAAGTACATTTGCTTTTTAAAATGATACCTTCAAGGTAGAATTTTTATTATATTTATTTTAGCATTTTTATTATTGCCTTTTAATTTTTTTAGTTGCTAGTTCTGGAGCTTGAACTCAGGGTGTGGGCACTGTCCTTGAGCTTTTTTGCTGAAGATAGCACCCTACCACTTGAGCTACAGCTCTACTGCTGGCTTTTTGGTTGTTAATTGGAGATTCTCACAGACTTTTCTGCCCAGGCTAGCTTCAAACCTTATAGCACATAAACTGCCATTGGCTTTTCAGGGAGAAAAAGACTGAATCCCCAGATCTTAGCCTCCCTGAGTAGCTAGGATTACAGATGAGCCACAAGTGCTCAGTAATGCCTTATTTTTTCAAATTGTTTTCTGTTCTGGCTTATAATTGAAAGAAGGAAAAGTAGATAATTAATAGATAAGGGTATTTGGTAAGCCATAGTACTTCCTTTGAGGCTTCTTTTTTTCTTCCTCTGAGGCTTCTTGTGTTTTTCATTAAAAAAAATTAAAAGATTGTTACTATGTATGTTTTCATAAAATGATGAAATTTTTTTCCAGGAAAACAATTTATTTCTAAAAACAAAAACCTTGAAAAATTTAACAGGTTGTGCTGTTTTAAAGTACTTTATTATGGACCACATAAATATTAAAAAATTGAGTGCATATCCTTTTCAATATATATTATTTAATATTTTTACAGACAATGTAGAGCAAGTATTTTTTTTGGGGGGGTCCGGTCATGGGGCCTGGGTGCTGTCCCTCAGTTCTTCAGCACAAGGCTAGCACTCTACCACTTGAGCCACAGCGCCACTTCCAGCTTTTTTTTCCCCTGCTTATGTGGTGCTGAGGAATCGAACCCAGGGCCTCATGCATGCAAGCGCTCTACCACTGAGCCACCTTCCCAGCCCTAGAGCAAGTATTAACACCACTTTGTCATTGGGAAAAATGGGATACAAGAAGAAGTGGTTGTTTTTTTTTTTAATGTCTCTCAAAGTATCAGTAGTAGAACCTGTAGTTAGTCCATATAATGATTCCACCACTTGAATTGGCCAAGGTGTCTATATGGAATGATCATAATTTGCTTCAGTTACTTTAGTTTAAATAGCTTTATATCATTTATTATAAAGATGGCTACATTTAAGTCACTCTTGTCTTATTAATTTGTAATATCATGTTAGACAACTCATTCAGATCTTACAGTTTTTAAAATATGGCATATGCCTAAATTATATAATATTGGTATGTTAGAGGTCCCCAAACCACTCCAGGTTCAGTAATTTGCTCAAAAGGCTCACAGAACTCAGATCGATGACTAACATTTATTATCATGAAAGAATATCGCGCAAAATCAACAAGGAAAAAGGTATACAGAGAAAAGGCTAGAAAACTAGGTACAGGCTTCAAAAAGTCCTAGGGACATCACACAAATGTGCTTAATTCCTTAATGTGTTATAACAACATAATGTGTTGCCTCCCAGAACAAAACTCATTGGAGTGCATAGGTTTTTTTGGAGGAAGATGAGATTGTACCTGTTGTTTCTATTATATCTCAAACTCTAGACCCAGAAGTAATCCAAGCATTGAGCATTAACCATCTTGTTTTAACAGTGTTAGGTACAGTAAGCCAGTCATCAGTTAGAGAATAGTTGGAGCTTTTCTTAAACCAGATGCTATCCAAAGGACAACCTTATAAGCAGTTTCTTCCACGAAGAGCAGTTTGACACTCTGCCCATTGTGCCTTTACTTATATGATTATGTTTTCTTCTTTGCATATGAGCATAGCAAAGTGTTTAGTTAAATTCATTCAATTTGTATCAAGCAATGATAGGCTTTGTTTGTGGAATTACTTTAGCTTATTTTTTGGTCCTGGCACTGGGTCTTAAACTCAAGGCCTTTTCATCCATTACTGACCACTATACCACTTGACATATATTCAGTCTTTGCTGTTTACATGGAGAAGATTTTCAAATATTTATTTGTCCAAATTAGGTTTGATTTCAGCCTCCTACATGGTAGTTAGGATAGACATGAACTATTGGCACCTGGCATGTGAAATTATTTTAGAAAATTATAATTAAGATGATACTTTGAACAATAATTCTATCAATAAAAATCTCAGTGTATGGATTCACTTCATTTAGTAAATAATAATGATAACTAATACTGCCTATAATAGGCAGTTTTTAACAAAATATTTTGCATATTATAAATACTTTACATATGTTATATGATCCATATAACCATGATAAAAATACTATAAAATTTATAGCAAGCAATTAAATTAACTGGGAACACTCTAAGTGAACAAAATGCCAAGTTACAGAACACAAAGATTATTGTATATTTTAACAGTTTAAAAAACTTAAATTATTAGTAATATGGCTACTTATTTTTGTTCTGCTTTTTATTTTTTCTTCCATCTATTGAATATAATTAAAAAGTAGAAATTTAGCAGCATATGGATGATGAATAAAAGGTAATCTGATAAATTATCTTGATTCCTAAATTATTTTGGGTTTTAATTTGTTTCAAGTTTCAGTTTTTGAGACAAGATCTTACTGTTTAGTTCAGGCTGGCCTCGCAATTGAGAGCCTCCTGACTCAGCCTTCTCACATTTCTGAGTGCTAGGATTATAAGTATATACTACTATATCTAATTGGTCTCTAAAACTTGGCTTTTCTCTGTTTTTAGTATAAATGTAGTGGTCTTATGTGTGGGAAAATGGAAATACTAAACTGTTTATACTTAGAGTATGAATAAATGTATATTTGATAGAGAATCCTTTGACTATTTTCCTAAAAGAATTTTTTTAAATTGTTTTCCTGATTTTTTTTCTTCAGTCTTTAGATGACCTTTCAAATGTATCTTCTGATGACTCAGTACAACTTCATGCTTACATTTCAGACACTGGTAAGAGACTTTGTAGTTGGTAGTCTTAAGTGTGAGGTTAAAGCTGTTGATTATTCATCTCTTAAGTTATGGTTCACAATCAATTTGTTTAAATTCATACTTTTAAGTTAGATATTTTATTTGATAACATAGTCTTTATTAAATTCTATTTGTGTGTTGGGTTTTTTTTTGCTTATTTTTTACTTGTTCATTTGAGTATTTTCTTCCCTGTGATTGCCATGATTTAACATTTATAACACTTATATCCTAATTATTTTGTTATCCTAAGTAAATTCCAAAGCCAGAGTTTTTCTTTCTGTATTTGAATCTAGTTGACAATTACTCTTTTGGGGAGAGCTATCAGGTAATATTTACTTTCTAGAGTTAGACTAGGTAATTAGAGTAAAAACAAAGCCACTGAGTGTATGCATTTGCTGTTCACAAAATGCTTGATTAGGGTTAGAGACTTTTAGGGCTTTATAGTCTACCAGCATATAGAACAGTTAGCATACCAGAAAACTGTTACCAATCTCCATCATTACCACTGAGTTTAATGAGTATTAAAAGATGACAATTTTTTAACCTGGCCTCTTAATTATTCCTTTAAATACAGAAGCATGTTTATCATACACATACTGAAGTGAAAATATACTGAGGTATATACCTCCATTCAATTTCATGCTTACTTTTTTTTTAACCATATCTTTTTTTTTTATTGTGAAAATACCATACAGAGGGGTTACAATTACATGGGCAAGGTAATGAGTACATTTCTTGTCAAGCATTGTTGCCTCCTCCTTTGTTTCCCCTTGATATAAACAAATATTATAAGTGTTGTTTTAAAACTCCTAATTTTTATTTTTTTAAGATTTTTTTATTTCATTGTTTTTGTTTTTTCCTTCTTACTAGAAACATTCCCTTTCCTCTCAGATTTCTAGAATAATCTTTTTTATGTAGTTGGTACATAGACTACTTTGCTCTAAAAGATCTTTGGATTACAATAGTACCAATAAGTCTTTTTCTTTCTTTATGTAAATTTTTAAAGTTATTTTCAAACTCTCTATATTCTGTTGGTTTTCTTCTGGTTACAAAAGTCTTTGGTAAGGTTCAAATGTTTACTATTCTGTCTTTTTATTTCCTGGATTTTTTTTAATGCTGGTCCTAGGGCTTTAACTCAGGACCTGGACCTGGGTACTGTTTCTGAGATTTTATTTTACTTTATTATTTTTATTAATATGTATTTATTTATTCTTAAGGCTAGTACTCTACAATTGAGACACAGCTCTACTTCTGGCATTTTGGTGATGAATTGAAAATAGGTGTCTCATGGATTTTCCTTTCTTGGCTAAAGTCAAGCTGCAATTCTCAGATCTCAGCCTGAGTAGTTAATATTATAGGTGTAAGCCACCAGCACCCTGCATTTCCTGGAGATTTTAAACTTGTCTAGAGGAAAATTTTTAGGTCTCTGCTTCTAATGTTAATACTTTTTTGAATCATCCCAGAAGCCACATTTTGGAATATGAATATTGGAGTCTTTATTATACATTTAGCAGGTTGTAAAGAGGTCCGGTCTGGCTGGCTCCATATTGGTCACATGGTGGATGGCAGGGCTGGCAGCTTGTCTTCATGCAAGGGGGAAGAAAACCCCTCTGCCCATCATCTGCCTCCCACATGATGGGCGTGCCCATATCCCTGCAGGCAGGGGTGGCCACTTGGCTGATAGGTTACTGAATCTTTCAGTCCAGTGCCGGGGACTGGCAATTTCCTGAGAATCTGCCCCCTGTCCTATCAGCCTCGAAACCAGGACACCATGCCACGTGTGTCTCTGTGATTGTGTCCTGTCTCCTGGCTCATTTCCAGTCATCCTGGTGTCCAAAGTCAGGTCTCCATTGGAGCTTGTTGATACTGTTTTTGTTATTTCTTTCCTCTTTAGCAGTTTCCTAGCTGTGTTATGTGTATTTGTGTGCTGCAGGTCTTTGTAACAACTGGCAGCCTGCAGCCTGTTAACTGTATAATAAAGACTCCAACATTCTATATTTTAAAATGCAGCTTCTGGGATGATTCACCTTAACAACAGTTGCAAGTAGCCAGATCAGGCAAGGGTGCAGACCCACAGGAAATTCCCAGTCCCAGGAACTAGACTGACAGATTCAGTAACCTATCAGCCTAGTACCCACCCCTGCCTCCAGGGATCCAGGCATGCATCAGCTGGGAGACTGGTGATGGGCAGAGAGTTTCCTTCCTCCAGCATGAAGACAATATGCCAGAATCTATCATCTAACCACGTGACTAATATGGCACCGGTCAGAGCTGACCTCCTTGGCATCTATTGATTATTCTGCTGAGATATTATCAGCAAGTAAAGAACTGGAAAGAGGAAATGCTTTGGGCTGAGGAAGGACTTGTGAAATGTAAGGTTTTTTTTCCTTAATTGGGTGTAGCTACTTGGAAGTAGAACTAAGACATACCTCAAATATTTTGAGAGAATTGCACAGGGTGTGAGTATTACTTTATGTAAATCTATCATACCCACTTAAATAGCCAATCATAAGCATATTGTAGCCCTGAGCTCAGTGAAGTCGAGGGGAGGCAGAGCTGGCTGACATAAGGGTAAAAAGGAGCAACCTGCCTGTTCTGTGTGTTTGCTTGCCAGAGTTTTGGCTGAAAGCACACCCTTCAGAAATAAACATAGCTCAGTTCAAAAAGTTAATAAAATCAATAAAATTAAAATGTTCTATAAATTATGCAGTGGCATTAGTGATGAGGCTGGTTAAATACCTGGTGTTAGTTACTTAGTTACTTGTGGATTAATAACAAATGGCTTTTAGATAACCTGTCATGAATAGCACTGGCCTATTTGAAGCAAACAAAATCATCTAGTTATGTCACTGTCTTGTCGCAGGCAATACATGTAGCCTTGTTATCTTCTGTTAAAATTAAATGACATTTCTCTGTTGTGCATTTTAAAACTAGCATCTTCCTTATTATTCCTGTTGTATGTACAACTGCATGATCTCATAGTTTGCATTTTTTGAAGATCATTTTTGTTGTTGTTAATGCTTTCTTACCTTACTCTTTTTTCTCCTATTACTTGTTGTTCCCCTTATTCTTGTTAACATCTGATTATGTCCAGCTGCCTAATCAGCCTTCTGTTTTCTATTTCCTTTTCCAAACCTGTCTTGGACATACCTGATAAGTTATTCCCTTGTTCTAATCTCTACCCTGTTTAGAAACCGTGGCTTTCTAACAGTATAGGTGGATTATGCTCAATCTGTCCTAGGTCCCCACAAGAATGTTGATTATAAGAGGTGAAAAATGAATGCAGTCAAAGACTCTTTGTGGTGGAACAAGATGGCCAAAGTCTAGTTCTTTGTCCTTCTGTTTGCCCTCCCTCCCTTTCTTCTCCCCCGACCCCTTCTTTCTCCTTTCTTCTCTAATAGAAACACTGGTATTAATGGAAAAGGAATGAAGGACAATTTTTTAGTGAAGTGCAATTTTTTTTCTTTTTTGATGCCAGTCCTGGGCCTTGAACTCAGGGCCCAGGCATTGTCTTTGAGCTTTTATGCTCAATGCTAGTGCTCTACCACTTGAACCACAGCTACATTTCTAGCCTTTTTGATAGTTAATTGGAATTAAGAGTTTCACAGACATTTTGGCTAAGGCTAGTTTTAAACCATGATCCTAAGCTCTCAACTTTTTGAGTTGCTAGGATTACAAGTTGAACCAAAAATATAAAACTGAAAAGTTTTGGTGAAAGGTGAAGAGAAGCTTGTCATTCACCTATTCTTACCAATATAGATATCAGACTTTCATGTCATTAAAACAATTTACCAAGAAGCTACATAGAAGGTCCTTTTGTGTAATTACTTATAAAACAGCAAAATATTTAAAACTCTAAAACTTGTGCACTTTTTTTTCATGATTATGTGTCAGCACAATAATACATTTTTAGATCATCTTTGACATCTGGTCAATGTGGCTGTCTAAATTGCTAGGGAAATCCTGCCTCCCACAATTGAATAGGCTACAAACAATATTGTTAAAATGGTAAAAGAGGGAATTGACAGCTGCTATAGACTGTGTGGAAAAAAATTCTGGGAGGTAAAGAAGCTTGAAGCTAAAGGTCGTCAGAGCATAAAGACTGATGTTTTGATTTTGATAGCATTTGGTTGCTTTCAAGTTTGGATGAACATAGGAAGCTGGAAACAAGTCCTTTACATAAATCATAAGTCACTAAGGGCAGCTTGATGGGGAAAAAGAACTAAAAATCTTTCAAATGGAAAGAACAAGAAATCTCAAACTTATGGTTAAAAATGTTATCACACAAAAAGTAAAACCCACTTTGTTACCTAATGTGTGTGTCCAGATTTAGCTGTCTGATTCAGTTTAGTGACTGAATATCACATAGTCTTCAGCCAGTGAATAAGTCCAGTTGTTCCCCAGTATTTGTGGGACTTTGCTTCTAGGCCTGTGCAGATTAATAGAATCCATAAAAAATATACCATATTTAGGGGCTGGGAAGGTAGCTCAGTGGTAGAGCGCTTGCCTTGCATGTGTGAGGCCCTGGGTTCAATTCCTCAGCACCACATAAGCAAAAAGAAAAAAGCCAGAAGTGGCACTGTGGCTCAAGTGGTAGAGTGCTAGCCTTGAGCTGA